AAAATGATCTTGCAATAATAGCTAAAATTCTCTAGGTGTAAAAAATTAACTAAAACAGATAAATGTTTAGCAACTGTTGTGATATTGCATATGTAATTACTTAATCAGTTTAGATGACAGAAACAGAATATATATCTGTATTGTTTGTGAACTTTAAAAGAAAGTTTCTCTAAAGCGCCTATCTATATAAGATCAATCACGTGTTAGATCATGCAATGAATAACATTTAGCAATGGTACCTAAATTTTTCAGAAGCTATTGCTAGAACATTACTGCTATAAATTCTATATGTGACAAACAATGTTTTCACAGATACGAAAAATAGCGATACATTCTTGTTGCGATATCTAGAAATCTAACTGCATCAGCGAAATATTTTTTTGAGTGTTGACTTTATAATTGTGTATTCATCTGATTAAGTTTTTATTAAACAATATATGTTAATTATTATATAAATATTATTGTTGTTTTAGTTTCGGTATAATATAATTTTTTTTATAAAAATCAAAGAATAAATAAATAAATATCATTATATTTATAATAAAAATAATAGCTATGTGTCCATTTCCTCTTGTGTCACAGGAAGACGATAAAATTTGCGTGCTTAGTAATAATATTGCAAAGAATTGTATCTAATTTGAGAAACAATTTATAATAATTTTAAATTTTGCATTTATAAAATTACATTAAAACTTATATAATTAACATTATAATTGACAGAAAAATTTTTAACATTATAAAATATAAATTTGTGAAATAAAATACATGATGGATATTTATAGAAATGTGAAACATATATAAATTTATGAATCTTTTTATAAAAAGTTATGTTGATTTAAACATAAACATAAACATAAACAAGCAAGAAACATAAACATTTGTAAGATATTTTATGATCATTCAAATTAGTCAGTAGTAATCGGTGTATATTATTGAATATTAAAGTTGTGTTATGCGAGACAAGGCTGTGTGTGCTCTATCAAAGCTTCAACAATAATAAAACGTTTTATCAAAAATTTTAAACCGATTTTTTTTAATAATTAAAAAGATATTGATAACTTAAGTCTTATTCAAGTTTATAAATCTTGTATTAATTTGATCGCGCAATCCGCAAAGATGATAGCAGAGTAATATATAAAAAATACAAAGATTGTTCGATGGTTTGTTTTTTTTTAATCAAACGTTCAATCCACAATACGTTATTTGCAATTGAATGTTCAATAATATTGTACTACTACTTATATTTTATAGACATTTATTAATTGCAATTTATTTTGTTTAAATTGTAATTTTGTTTTATTTGAAAGCTTTCAACTTATTACTTTGATATGAAATACATTATAGTCTAGAATAATTGGCAATATAATTGTTAAAATAAAGATTTAATATAAGAAATAATAATTTAACTTACCAATTGTATTCTTGTTACATATGGTTTAATAGGGAGGAGACTTTTTTGAAGATTTGAACTCCACGCAGCCAGAAAATAATAAATGTACATAATTACATGCACGAAACAATTAATCAAGGAAATAAATGTTGTTCTTTCGTCTAACATATATTTTAAAAAATACCAGGTGAAAGTTACGTTTGACACGTGATGGTATACGTGCAAACCGGAAACCTGATTCTGTTTTTTTCTTAACACAAATATACAGGTTTCAAAATAATCAAAAAATTTCAATAATAGAAGCCACCACACCATATTGAAGAGCTAAAACAAATATTAATACATTATTATACATTATTATATTTATAAAATGTTAAAATAACTAAAGAAATAAGTATTATTTCTTAAATTTTGATTATTTTAAACAATACAAGCAGCAATTATACAATTTAAAATTATAAATTATAGAATGAGACTTATTATCTATTTAGCAATAATAATAATATTATAAATACATACTCTAATCGCAGTAGGCGAAGTTGGATCTGGTATAGAACATGTAAAAGTATATTTCGAAAACCAACCACTAGATATGTGTTCTTTTACTATCCAAATATTTGCCAATATTTGAATTATATTGTAGACTAATATGAAGGTTTTCAGCTTATATGGTGGCTTATTTTTCATGTAGCGAGGACCAAAACTAAGAACGAAATACAAGTAAGCAAGAGTTATAAATATAACTTCGAAAGGTGAACTTATAAACAGCCAATTGCGAGTTAGTGGCTCTGTAAAAAAAAAATATAATAATAATAATAATGCAATATTTAAAAACAAATGCAAAATTGCAACACAAATTTCGTATATATATGTGTGTATGTATAGAGCAGCGCTCGGAATTAGTTGCACATTTCGAGCCGATTCAGGAGACGACGCCTCCTGTTTCCCCACTACCGCCCGGCCGCTGGTGGCCGAACCGCCGATAGCTTTAACGCAGAAGCGTTTTATATAAGAAATAGGCTGGGTTGTTGAGGCACCTCTCAGAAAATAGTAATATTTTCTTTGCTACATAAATAATGTTTATTTTTATTAATAATTAAATATATATATATTATGTATTAATGAAAATAAACATTATTTATGTAGTGAAGAAAATGTTACGATTTTCTGAGAGATGCCTAAACAATCCAGCCTATTTCTAATATAAAACGCTCCTGAGCGAGAGCTATCGGCGGCTCGGCCGCCAGCGGCCAGGCGGTAGTGGAGGAACAGGAGGCGTCGCACAGTGGGGCCAAACGACATTTCGTGTTTCAAAAAAGGCTACAGTCTCGAAATGTTAACCGATTTCGATGCTTTTTTTTTTAAATGAAAGCTAACAAAATTTGCAATAACTTTGTGGAGGTAGTATTTTTGTTTTTTGTTTTTTTTTTATTATTAAATTACACATAAAACAATTAAATTTGTAAAATATAATGACTGAACAGCAAGTAACTCTTCAACAGTAAATATTTTCTGTAACTTAACATCGGGCACTGATATAGTTGAAATTAAACATTCAAATCCTGATTTAGGAACCATAAAGTTTGACCTAACTTCACAAAATGTTACCTTAACAAATAAAATTGATATGATAAAAATAATATAAAATTTTAATAAATTAGTAAATTAGTGAAAATACGTTGAAAATAATTATAAATTTTATTAACATTTCTTTCACTTCCCTTTAATACAACATTGCAAAGTACTCTATTTTTTATGTTGATATTCTCCATTTTTATTTTTATCTTTTTTTATAAAATGTAGCGAAACGAGTATTAACGCAATTATCTAAACTTAAGAATAATAAGACTAATAATCAATAAGAATAATAACTAAACTAATTTTATATTACTTTATTACTTAAAAACAGGTTTAAAAATACTACGGCTAATGAAAGAATAACTAATAAAAAACTAATGAAAAACACTAAGACTAATGAAAACTATTTATATTTATATCAAACAATTATCCTACAATATATAAATTTTGCAAAAACTATATTTTTGCAATATCACATTAAATGCACATTAAACGTGAATAACACTACCTATGTTTCCTTTGCCGTGTATCAGTTCGTCGAACATAGGATGTGTGTTAAACATGGGACGCATTAAACATAAGACGTTCGTCAAAATGCACGAAAAAAAAATTTATGGCTACATCATGACATAAAACGATCGTGAGCCAACACATTAAGAAGATTCTCGCGTTAGAATCAAGTTTTCCGATTCGAGCGCAGTGCTTTGGTTCAGAAGTAAACATACGAGAATTTCATATTGTATGTGTCTCCTTGTATGTTACGAACGTCCTATGTTGAAGACAAAGAAATAATGAAAACAACTAAAATTAGAATTCAGAAACAATTTAGAGAAAAGATGGGTTTACATATAGATATTCCAAAACAAGGAACTGGAACAAGTAACAATGGAAACACTGCTAGAAGGTTCTTTAGAGATCCTCAAATCACTTCGAGCATAACTGGTATTGATGAAAATTTAATTAGAAGGTTCGGTATAATTCTTCAAACACTTGCTTGTGGAAAAAAGATTGATGCTGATAAATTTGGCAAATATGCTTCCGAAACAGCAAAACTGTACGTGAATTTGTACAGTTGGTATTATATGCCAGCATCAGTGCATAAAATTCTGATTCATGGAAAAAATATAATAGAATCATTTCTAATTCCAATAGAAAATTTATCTGAGGAGGCCCAAGAGGCACGTATATATATATATATATATATATAACAAAGTAATTTAAACTATTTAGAGTAATTTAATACAACGAAAACACAACAGTATTTCGCCAACAAACGAGAACATTGTAC